CAGAGTTTCCTCTAACCGGAATTTAAGTAATTATTAACGATAAAAACTTATTAATATCTTTTAAAGTAGTTTTAATATTCCTTAACATGTTTTTTTTATCAATTAATTAATATTGTTAATATACTTAATTGCAACTAAATTTATGAATTTCTTTTCAATTATTTTAATATTTCTAAAACATGTTTTAGTTATCACTTGATAATAATTGTTAATATTGTTAATTAACAATTAAAATTATGAATTTTTTTATCAAAAAAATATTTTTAAACATGTTCCTTAGTTATTAATTGATTAATACAATTATTTTACTTTATAATGTAGCGATTAAAATTCATTAATTTATTTTATAAAGTTTTTATATTCCTTATTATTATGTTTCTTAGTTATTAATTGAATGAGATTGTCAATTAAAATAAAGTATCAGCTATTGCAATTGCATCTGTTAAATCTATTTTATTTATTGAATGATTTAACTGTATTCTAGTATTTTAATATTTTATTGTATCAATTTACGATCTTGACTTTATTGTGTCCTACGTTTATCTTAAAGGATAAGCCTCCGTCTTAAGGGCGAGATGTTATGAACCAATGTACAAGTTAGTAATTGCTATTATAAGCATTATGTAAAGTATATAAAAGTGATTATTCATATAATTTAAGCAGTCAAAGTCTAACTTTTGTTCGGTACACAACTTTCTTATAATTATTAATATTTCGAAGTGAAATTAAATTAGTTTAGATTTAGAATTTAAATTTACAAATCTAAATTCTAAATCTAGAATTTAGATTTCTAATCTAGTAGGTCGCTACGTTTTATTAAATTTTATATTTCGGTTGTAACCTTTCCGCATGCCCTTGTCTGTTAATTGTAATTTTAAGGTTTAATTTACCACGTGCACGGCATGCTTTCACTCTTCACTATGCTTTCCTGCAGGGACAGTGAAGAAAATCATTGTAGAGGAATGTGCATGTTCGATAAATGTACATTTTTCTAGAATTTTGAAGTGCGCTAATTCACTATTCACTATTTACTTAGTAACACAGAAGATAGTGGAGCATATAATGCAGGCTGTTAATTCTATTAGTTTGTATTTCTTTGTTGATATACTTGTAACTAAGTCGACTTAAATTAATGTTAAAATATTATATATTTATTAGCTGCGGAAATTCTAAATAAAATTTTCCGGTGTGGTGGTGGTGTCCCGTGGTGTAGAAAGAGACAACTATAGAAAAGAAAGAAGGATCTTATAACTGCCATCAAATGGTGGTCTAACTATCTCGTTTACACCAGATGAAAAATAACCAGATGAGAATATAAAATACAGACGTCAAGTGTTGTGATTGCCAATACATTTGCCCAGCGTAGTGGTAATGGCAAATCCTTCTTAAAACGGAAGCGGCCCATGTCCAGCCCTGGACTAATAAGCTGTTCTTTAGAATCCTTACATTAAATAATGTTATTCCTCCTTCTCCTTACATTAAATATACTTCTATTTTATTAGTTTTAAATAAATAAAACATCAGTATTTACATTATAACATCGTTTATTGAAAATAATGAACTTCTTTGGTTTGCTTATAATTTGTAATCCAAAATATTTAACTCCAGCGTAGTAACTACATTATATCCGAGTTGTACAATAGTTGTTGTCCCGATTATACATTAAAAGCGCGTACTTATATTCTAGTATTAACTATTAATTCTAGCATTCTTCCATATTTTATTTAAATACATTAATAACAATAAGTATTTTTTAAGACGTCGTCAGTCGCCGAACCTTGATACATTATACCATGGATTGTAACAAAGAAGGTAATTCCTTTGTAATAGAAATTAGGCATTAGTTTCTTTCAGAATTGGACGTATTAGTCTCTGTAAATTTCATGCACATAAAAAAGTTTGGTTGAACAAATAGACTGTAGTTAACACTTTTAGGAATGTATTAAGTTGAAAAGAAAATCAAACGAAGACCCAACTATTTTATTGAATTGCGTAACACAATATAACAATATTTTTAAACCGATGCATCGCTTAGTTTGGCAAATTAAGATGTTTTTTTTCATAAGCACGTCATCTGACCTTGGTAAATGGTGATTTAACCGTAGATAGTAAAGCTGAATAACAAAGGCCTATTTCACTATTGCCTTGAACATAGTCGAAAGAATATAGCCGAAAATAAAGCTTAATGCTAACAAATTAGTCTACTCCTTTGCTGCACGCATCAAAGAAGGGAACTGTTTGGTTCGGATGCTTGAATGCACGGTATTTCTATAACAAAGGAATGAAAACCGCAGCTTCTGGTTGTTGGAAACCAGATGGAAATGAACCAGAGAACGAGTATTCTTTTTTAATAGAATAAGGGTGACAAACGAGCACTCAGTCCACCTGATGGTAAGTGGTTGCTGCGGCCCATATACATCTACATCTATCTTCGTTTGCGAGTTATAATGCAGATGCGTTGTCACCCGTGAGGACTAAGATAGAATGTCTCATTTCCAGTAAAATGGGTCTCCGGTACACTACACTCACCACACAAAACACAGCAGCATTAAGCTGCTATTTTACGCTGGTATTCTGTGAGAGCGTGGTCCTTCCCCGGTCGAGCCGACCCATTCGTGCTACAACTATACGATTAATATAGTTGCAGCATGGCTCTACCACGTACATAGAGTATAACTTAAGAGTTTCGTCGTTTTAGTGGCACGGTCAATAATTTAAATTAAAAAGATTTTCAGGGCTAGTTTCTTAAGCCTTCGTTAAATCATCAACAAATTTAGATTTAGAGGAACGAAATTCAGTTGACCATAACATAATCGGCAACGTGATCGCCTAGTATCGGCTATGTCGCCAACGGCTAAACAGCCGTCGTCAAACCGCATATAGTCCAAGAATACCTTTTTTTTAATTCTTTAATTTCTGAGAACTGAGATGGATATCTTACAGTCTTTAGTTATACTGACTCTCTATACCATTCAGGCAGGAACACAGCCACAGCAGTGAACACTCTATTGCTTGGCGGTAAAAATGGGTAAGAGGGTAGTACCTTCTCAGATGGAGTTCAAGGCATGCAAGGAGTCCTCTCTTAGTGAAACTACTAATACTGCACGTACACGGGCTTTTAAAATGAAATGAGTACATAACGAAGTTTTTATTTGAGTGCTCAATGCACTCAACTTAAACTTACTCAACGATGAATAATAGATTACTATTATTGTACTGTGTTGTGTTGTTATGAGTTTGAAAAATCGCTTTTGTAAACATAGCGTTCAATTTCTTTCTCATTGTGAACGGATAGACGATGATACAATCAAAAGCACTTCAATTTAAAAGCAAAAATACGTATGGTTTCCAGTTTCTATTTGATTTTGTACGTACGTAACGATCACGCCCTTGGTAATAGGCGATTCTAGGCTCTATTTTTATGAAGTTTTATATTACATAAATTTTATTTGGTTCTATGCAATATAATGTAGTGCAAAACTATGCATCTGTTGTATAAATGAACAACATTTTATTAGTTATAAAATTATTTTACGGATAATTCTACAGAAATATTTTTTGCTTTACAAACTTCCCGAATTATTTGCGATTCCCCATTAGCTTAAAAAGTGGTCATTAATGACTAAGCTAAGTCATCATATGACCTAATTAACATATGTTGGCACTTACGTTATTTTATTTATTTTATATTTACTAGCGTAATACGAATTCTTTACGAATTACATGTTTTCTTATCTACATACCCCAAAAAATATATTAAAATAAAACATTCATCAATTATCTATTATTGAATATTATAATAATTGGTTCTTTCAGTGTCACTTAAGATCATCTTGAATTTCGCCATTTATATATACTCAATGTTTTAAGTATTATTATTTATATTAATATCACTTTTGGCGTAGGTATTAACCTCTTCAATAGGTTTATGACTAATTCATTTGTGCACCGTAATGCTATCCTTATCATCGCTACTTACATTTTCTACAATATTGCTAGTTATCCATCCTTCTTGAATGTGGAAATCAAAACCCAAGCGGCAATACCAATTTAAGTATTTTTATACGATTACATTGAAAACGTAAGGCACCGCTTTTTATACAATTAATATTTAAGGTTTTATTCAGAGCGAAGTCACACGGTGCTTTTATTAATATCCGTGGGTCCGTGAAACACCCTTCAACGCGATACCCTAATGCACAATTTCGGTGCAGCAACGCAATTAACTTAGTACTTCTAGTGCCAAGCCTAGTGATTGTTTTTTTATTGAACGATTAAGTGTCTAATGCTAATCCTGCTGTCACGGTGAAGTTGTGCTACAACGCAATGTACGCTACAAAATTATTGCGGTGTGACACCACATCGCCACCGCGATGCATCGCTTGGCTTCGCTGTAACACCTATTTAGCAATGTTAACAGTGAAAAAGTAAGATCAAGTGTAACATAATAATATATTGAAACCTAAAGATGATCAAAAAATATAAATTATAAATGACTAAAACTTATATTATTCAAAGAAAATGCTTTAAATTATATTTACCGTAGCAGGGACGGGAAGAATCTTACATTTAATTGACTTTATTAGACTAGGAATGGATAAATTTTAAATATTACGTAAACAACCCATACATTACATACAACAACACAAAAAGCTTTGCGCGGCTGAAGTATCCAAGCGTAGGTTAAAATTGTTACTTTATTTATTTGTAACTATCTACATTATTATTTACACATTTTGTATATAAATTCATTATTTACTATACAATGGTTTACCTTATTACTTTTTAGCAGTTATGGATAATTAACTACGTAGATGTTTATTTATGTTGTGCAATTCCAATTTTAAATATTATTAAATGTAAATGTAACTAGCACTTACGCAAGCTCTTTCTCCAGAAAATTATTTATTTGTTTTTATCATATCAAAGCGCTATTTCAATACATCTTACTTTATCCAGCAGTTTTTAAAGCGATAAAACCAATTACTGTATAAGAAATGCTATAGAGGCGTTTCTTCCCCAGGTTCACAATTAGGTAGTCTTATTATTTTAGCCCCTGTCAACACCCCAACACCGTCCAAACACGACCTTCTATTTGCAATCACGTCCCTAAGAAATGCTCTTCTGGGTCCTGCTAATTCTGTACCTGTTATTGATCTCGTGAGTCTTCGTAAAACTGGAAGTTTCAACGCTTCTTCATAAGGTGGAGGCTCATCTGTAGGCGTTGTTTGTGCTCGACCTCCGAAAGGATCTCGCGAGCAAGTGGGTGATAATTCTCTAGAAAAGTATAAAGTGCTTTCCCCGTTTCTGACTACTTGGCGCTCTGGCATAATTTGATAATTAGCTGAAGAATTGCTTGTAAAATCTTCTAAGATTTGCCGTGCACTTCTAGTCGTTGTCAAAACTCCAGCCCAAGACCGTCTGTTTTGTTGTTTATTTTCGTTATATCTAGTGCCTGCAGCAATGTTACTACTAGAATGTGTGCTTGCTATAACAACTTTTGGCCGTCGTGGGGGTTCATCAAAAGATGCAGCTTTTACAGTCGGCCTATTATGTCTTTGTTCAGATTCGATGTCAATCAGAACCCCAGTGTTTGATGTTATTTCAGCTGGATCTTCATTTAGGGCGGCATCAATTCGCATCGCTTCTGAGTAAGAAGGCACTAAGGCACAATTACCTCGGATTGCAGCAAACAATTCAAGACTATCTACAGTTGACGCGTGAGATAAAGGAAGAGTCCGAGGTGGACGGGGTGCGGAACATAGTACTGCACTTTGCTCATCAGCAAGATTCCACGCATAATTTGAGGGAGGAACTGGCGGTAATGTGTCCGATAAATGTGTGTCTAAATCAAGTTGGCGACTTGGATCTAGTTCGTAATTTGTACCAAATATTTTAGTAATCTGAAAGATAAATAACATCATATAGACATAATTTCATCAAATTGGTTAATATTTCGGAACTAAGCTAAAATTTCAAATTTTACCGTATAATGGACATAAGCTGTGTTACACTCTATAACAATCCGGAGAGGCCAAGAAAGTAGTAAACATGACAAAGTCCAAAATAATATTTGCGATGAATACCAAGGGCATCGATCAGCTTCTCTGAAAATCAAACATGAATTTTTAAACATATTTAGTGTCGTTCCTTAATATAGCACATAATGTGAAATAATAAGAAAGTCACCTATATGCTACCATATATTCTTTGAACGAGCTGACTCCTATAAGATCTAGGCCTTCTCTCATTTCCATGAAGTCATCAAAACGTTCATGTTCAGCAAAAAACCTTGATCTTTGATCCTCAAATTCTAAAACAAGAAACATATTCAAACAACTTTAAAAACAAATTAATTATGTAACGTAATAATAGAACTCGTAGTGTGATAGCTAGGGGTGATCATTTTTCGGGCGTTATCTGAAGTGTATTATTAGTACATAAAAATAAATGGTCACTTTTTTTGTAACATAAGATGTCAACGTGTAATGAACTGTTAATAAGAAATTTCAGAGATAGATATAAATATCTCTGAAATTTCTAACGTCTTTTTCATCGCCCATAGACACCACAGTTGGTGTCCTAACGCAGATGGTCAGGGCAGGACTGATGTATTTGACGTCCTGATGTCAGCCACCTTTTGCTTTTAAGTACCATTTATTTTTGGTCCAAATCGAGAGAAAGGAGAATTAAAAATAAGTTAAAATTAAACGTAGTAAAATCTGTTTAATAGCTTTATCCCATGAAATTAACATATTCAATTTAACAGGAAGCACTTAATCGGACGCGAACTTTTACCGTTAAAAATGTTTTCACAGATAAACTGGATATATAATATTATAACAGTGATTAAAAAACACATTGAAAACATACTGAGCTTAATAAAGGCAAAAAATAAATTTCACGGTAAAAAGTATTACTAACTGTGAAGTTTTCGTATCTATCTTATCAAATTTTTGAAATTCTTCTACCAAAATTTAGCAAAATTTTGATAATGATTTTATAGAAGTTACCATCGGAATATTAGCGTACAAAAATATTTTTTGATCTCAATTTTTTTAATTCATTTTCAGCATTTTAATTAAATTGATAATTTATTTTATATTTTAGTAAGAAAATTTTATTTCAGAACGTGATAATTTTTTGTACTACTTGATTACTTGAAATTAGAAATCCAATGACTTTACGCTTGATATATGTATAATTTTAAGGCTTTTATAAATTACAAATAAAATACAACTGATAAAATTTCAGACATATTTTTATGTGTGACCCTATTGCAAAACACAACAAAATAACACACAACACAACGCTCAAATTACAAACAGAACTAATAGACACTTTGCTAATAATAATCAGTTGGATATACATAATTAAGATGTCATATAGAAAATCAAGAATGATGATGAATCTAAAAAGTGTGATCCGAAAACGCTTGCTTGCTGGCATAAGATCTTTACTTCACTTGTACTTACCGCTGGCGGCTTCGATATTGGCAAACGCAAATCCTTTACTGAATCTGACTTTAGTAATTGGCGTTTTAGAGTCTAGCACTAAATTCCTGGAAGCGTCACGTTGACCGCAACAGGCGTGTGCGAATGAAGTGCTTGCACTATGTGTATTCACTCGTTCATAATATACCTAATAAAAACGATAAATGTTAATTTTTAAATGCGCTGAAATTTACGGTTATAACAAATTTATTAAGTAAACGCTAAATTGTTTTAGTATACTCGTAATGCTGAATGTTTAATAATTTATAAAGGAAAAAATCTTCATTTTGGTTTGACTTCTTTACTTTCATCAAAGAAATAGGTACTCATTGTTTCTGAAACTTGCATGTATAGAAATAAAATATATTTTCGGACATGTGTAGTCCAAGAATGCGTCACCTTACATAGTGACCGTGCTGGCAGTTTCGAGCAACAATGGAATGGAACAGAGCTTCCATTGTTGATCAAACTTGACGGAAAATAAAGAGATTTTCCGCCATATTATAATTGATAATAAGTCAGTAGTAGTTACTTAGTAATAACTGCAACACAAAGAAGTATATTTCTATTTTTCTTAGTCTTTATTGATCTCAACCATTGATTACAATGGGAATTGCCTGACATACAGGGCTGCCTTGATCAGTAGTCAGGACATCATTGTTATGTTTACGTGTTCAATAAAGAATATAATACAATAATTTTCTATTAAACACGATCTCTTTCACTTGGTATTTTTAGCTTGCGTGGAAACAACGGCAATCTACAAATGCGAGGGTTAACTGGCACGTAATGTTGTTCGTCACGCACCTGTGTGGTAGTGTAGGCGTCTCCGTTTCGATATCGCGTAACCTGCCTCTTGCGTCGTACGTAATGGTAGCATATCGCCTTCCACCTGCGTAGTTAAACGAATATTAAATTAAATACAGTGAGTTTTGTTGTGAAAAGTAATTTCAGTACTACCAAGGATTTAGCTTAAGCAAAGTTAACGAAGTATCCGTATCGTTGCAAAATAAGGAAAAAACATTTTTTCTTTATTTTGCATTTATTGAGTAGTCAAAAGGCTTTTGACTACTCAATAGTTGACTTAATATCATTTTATTTTAAGCTCGGAGTTTGAAAAAAAGACGTCATTTATAGATTTCTGTATAGGTTCTGCAATTCTTGGTTGAATTTAAGTGCGGCTTATTTTGAACAAGTATCGACTTACTCGTCTTAAGAATCCCTTATGCGATGTATTATCACATGATGTTTGTTCTGACTGATATCAAACACGGAAACAACCTCTTAATGCTCTCAGAAGCTGTCAAGAACACGGTTCAAATCGTATTATAGTGCCACTAGTGTATTTTTTAACCCAATGCCTCAACCGTACTAAACTATTAAAATTATTTATTCAGTATTATTATTATTTATTATTTCTTATATATCAAAATTCAATGCTTGAATATTATCTCACGAGAGAGTAAGTGTGTCGAAACCGAAAATGGCAAAGCTCAATATCTTTGCTTAACAATAGCCTATTTATTCTTGTCATTACTACTACTACATACTATTACATTGTAATTGGATGGAAAGACAGATCCTTTTTTAGGGTTCCGTACCTCAAAAGGAAAAAACGGAACCCTTATACTTACTTACACTTTTTTGTCCGTCTGACTGTCTGTCTGTCTGTTTGTCTTTTTTTTATAGGATCGGGTGACAAACTAGCACACAGTCCACCTGATGGTAAGTGGTTACTGCAACCCATAGACATCTACATCTATCCTCAATAAAGACTCAAGATCTCATTTACGAATCAAAATGCAGATGCGTTGTCACCCGTGAGGCTTGAAATGGAATGCCTCGTTTCCAGTAAAAGGGTCTTCGGTTCTCTACACTCAGCATACGAAACACAGCAGCATGAAGCTGCTATTTTACGCTGGTATTCTGTGAGAACGTGATCCTACCCCGGTCAAGCCGACCCATTCGTGCTAAAAACATAATATAGCTGCAGTGTGGCTCTACCACGTATAAAAATGATTGTTGTTTTAATTGTTAATGATGATGGTTTCTTATCCAACACCTTGACGCGGCAATTGCAAGAACAAATTTAATGGTCTAGATTCCAAAAATAAAGTCATTATAAGTGAACTATTCGTACCATACTCTAGGTGTAGCGTTCCTCATAGCATGTACTCTAGCGCTTACTGCAGCAACATCTACTCTTCTTGCTAATTGGATCCTGGCAGTACTGTGGTAACATTCAACCAAATACACTAAGTAGAGAAGAAGAACGAAAGCCATTGGTATATATGCATAACCGACGTCACAAGGCGACTCACGTACTGTCCTTTTTATAGGGAATCTGTAAGAGAATAGCTGATTAATGTAGGAATATTAATGTATTTACATGACAAGCAATATTTACGTAACAAACTCATATTATGGGAAATCCTATTTTCCAATGCCTATGCCTGCCAGGTTCAGTACACTATGTCTTAGCACTGACTTCATAAGTTATTAAGTGAAAGTTATTTATTCTTTTTAGTTAATTGAAGCTGGTTTTTACTTTTAAATAAAATATTAATTTTCAAGAAAACTTTTGTTCTCCGCTTCAATTCACTTTATTATATAAGTAGCTGAACCCGGCAGACGTTGTCCTGCCAGTTAATATCAAAGTTTGTGTTCAATAACGTTTTTATTTTATTTTAGCACATGCAATTTAATTTATGAATGATTGAAAAAAAAAGCACATAAAATCTAAAATTTTAAATTTTGCTTGTTGTAAATGTCTAATTGTTCTTTTCAATGTTTTTTTTAGTTTCTAAATATAAGCCTTCTCCATTGCTAAATTTCAATTTGATCTCCAATTTTCATGTTGATCGATCAAATAGATTTCATATATACAAACCTCTTTTATACGTATAGATACAATGTGTATGGAAATACTAGATTTAATCTTAACTATTTAATTCGAAGCATATTACCTAAGATTAAGCAACATTTATTTCGTCATCGTCATTCAGATAGTTCCAAACCCTGTTTTATGGAAATTCATGGCGGACGTCTTTATTCATCAATGGACTTGTAAGATGGTTAGGCCGTAACCATGATGATGATGATGTTCGTCATAAATTATTGAAAGCAATGTTTAGTTTGATAAATTGTTTTACATGCACTTTGTGAACTGTAAAACAGCTAGTAATCATTTCTTAAATGTAGAAACAAGAAATTAGAGGAGCTGAATAAAAAATAGCATAAGTTTGCTATAACTGAATAAACAATCAATAGTGTACTCGTACAATATCTACATAGTATAAAACAAAAAGTCGCTTCCCGTCGTCTGTACGCTTAGATCTTTTAAACTACGCAACGGATTATGATGCGGTTATCATGAGTAAACAGAATGATACAAGAAAAAAGTTTTTTAAGTATAATACATATCTATTATATATTACATTATTCTTTTGTCCGTGTGTATGTGACTGAACTACTAAATGGCTGGACCGATTTTGATGTGTGTGATTAAATTGATTAGAGAATGGTTTAGATTCACAATTGGACCCGGTAGGTAGCATTGTTATCAAGATCCTCATCATGTCCAACATCATGTTTTAATAATACTAAAACACTCACTTATTAAGGTCGATTAGCTCACGGTCGATCTCGACTGTGCTGCACCAAGTCACAGAGCCGAGACACCCAGCAATCATAAGAGTGAGCAAGAAGCATTTCCAATTCCCCTCTCTTTTAAGAACGCCTCCAAGACTCTGTTGTCGAGGCCGCTGTAAAACAACCAGAAAAATATGTAATTTTGAAATACGAATTTTGATGGTCGTTGTTTTTGAAGTATCCTTCCCACAGTTTGGCACTTTGTCACTAAGCACGGTCTTGATCCTGAGCCACCTGCATCCAGCAAAAATTCCTTTCACGTCATCCAGGCGACCCTATAATGAGTAAGTCTGTATAAAGTGATAGTATACTTTAGTTAATAGCTTTTTAATGTATGTTCTTGACTTGTCAAACCCGCCATAAGCACATATTACTTACAATTATTCGTATATACATCATCATTACAACCCTTCACAAGTCCTCTGCTCAACATTGGCAATACCATAAAGCACGGTGCTGAATCACCGGTATCATCTATCGACTTGTCACAAGTGCGCGAGAAAATTTCTTCGCCATCGGTTGTCGGTTCTTCGAGTTATATTGCCGGCCCATTGCCACTGCAGCTTACTGATTCGTTGGGCTATGTCAGTTACTCGTTCGACTGCGGATATCTCCATTTTAAGAGGATACCTTAAAAATGAATCGTAATTTTGGGAACGTATCTTAGCCCTTTGTCAGTGAAGCTCACGCATGACCGAGTGAGTGTCAAAATGAAAGTGATGCAATTATTTCATGTACACAAACTATGAGATATACTACCGAGCTCGGTATTATATCTCATAATAAGCTCGGAAATAAATTACGTAAGCGGCAAAGAACATTTTTGTTTTTTATCAAAACTTCGTTACGGGTTAAAAAATGGTTTATGTGAACATAGATATGATTATGTATTTAGCTTATTTTCATTGGTTTTGTCGACTAACGTGGTTATGTAAATGTTAACGCATAATCATCATACCAAAAATTTGGTTTGTAATCTATGAAACTTAAAGAATTATGTGAAATAGAAAAACCACCAAATTTACGAGGTATCACCTTAAAGTCTGTCCAAGAAACTCCAAACATAGCCCTGTCTTTAGCCCTCTTTGATTGACCTTGAGCTTCCTCATTCAGCCAGCAGTGAAGGACTACATCTCAGATCCATATGTCATCTCCTATTATATACATGTAATTACAATTGCAACATCTAAAATACATTTACTTTTTTAGCATTATGCTGAAACGGATGCTTTTCGTTTCTGCAGCCCAATGCATTATGTATACAAGTTTGTTTTTCATATTTGTTATTTTCTTATTTCTAGTGTACACTGTGCTAAAGTGAGGAATAAATTATTTATTCACAATTTTCTGAACAAAATTTTAATTTTAAGACTATTTTGTATAATTTCGAAGATATGGTGTAATTAGACATGTCTCTAGTATGATATGTAAATTGTCTGTTTTTTTTTTTTATGTACTTATTTCACTCTTGGCCCGACCGTTAAATTGTACATCTCATGAAACGCAACTATTGCATGCAATATTACATGGTAATTTGTCTACATCATGATATGCTTTGGCCCAATCAATGAATAAAGATCAACTAACGATATTGCTAACCAAATTCAAGGCTACTTTATGATGTTGCCAAACGTAAATCATATATCCTAAAATAGTTACCTTATCCACTGCTAGGGTCGCTGATAGTCTGTCGCAGTCTGGCGATTTAATGACTTCAATTCATCACCATCAACATCATTACAGCCTTTCACAAGTCCACTGCTGAACATAGGCCTCCCCCAAGGAATGCCAAAAAGCACGGTCCTGAGTCACCTGCATCCATCGACTTCCTGCATGTCTTACCAGGTCGTCAATCCATCTCGTGGGGGGTCGCCCTACACTTCGCCTACCGGTACGAGGCTGCCACTCAAGAACCTTTCTTTCCCATCGGTTACTCTGGTTCTACTGCGGATATCCTCATTTCTAAGTTTATCACGCAGAGAAACCCCGAGCATAGCCCTCTCTATAGCTCGCTGAGCGACCTTGAGCTTCCTCATACGGCCAGCAGTGAAGGATCACGTCTCAAATCCGTAAGTCATCACTGGCAACACGCACTGGTTGTACAATTTCGTTTTAAGGTTTTGAGGTATGTCTAACGAGAAGATGTGTCGTAGTTTCCCGAACGCTGCCCAGCCGAGTTGAATCCGTCGATCGACCTCTCACAAAAAACGTAGAAATCTATGAACAGATCTGTCAACCTCATCGGTATATTTGTGGTACCGGTGTTGACGAATTTGGGCTCCACGGCTTTTATGTAGGAAAACAGGTAACAGGTTGTCTCGTTTGTGTTCTCTGAACGTTATTGAAAATGTTATGAAGAACTCTTGTCTCTATAAATGTTCCCTCGATTTTACCGCCTGAAGGAATATTACGAGACGACGGCAAGACTATGTAGTGGCGACAGAGAGAAGCTAAACCAGGATATTGGCAGCAGCATCTTCCTGATACCAACTGAATAAAAATAAAAAACTACGGTTGCCAAACCGCTTGCCAAGCGAGGCATTTATGACGATTATCCTTCCTATGAGACTGTCATAAGGGAGGTATATCTTCAGCGATGGGCTGTAATAGTGATGGGGGATGTCAGGAGACGCGACGACATGACTTTAGTCCCTTGGGAGTGAAACAAAGCCCTGACGTGGGGTACATCGTGCGTTCACACTTTGGCAGTCTCAGATTTTAGGGGTAGGTGTTCACACCCATGCGTGGTGTCACATTAATTTTACAGGTATCCATCTTTAATGCAAAAATAATTATCAGGTAATTTGTTTACCATTTTTTTAATATAATAATTTGGTAATGTCTAAAACCAAGAAAAACGCTTTTCAAAGCACTAAGATTATATAATATAAGTTTAAATTTACATAACTGCGTTAGTAGACATTAGTTAAAGCAATTAAAATGAGCTAATCTGCTTTTGAAAACTAGAGGAACGTTAAATGAAGGTTAATTAACCACTGAATAGTGATTTAAAATTTGCTTCGTCAAGTAGATATCAGTCTGTTAATTACTATTTTCGCAACCCAAAATTCGATAGACCAATGATTTGACTGTTTGTTACGTAAGCTTTACATAAATTATCCTATACCAAAAACCGAATGTTCATACGTTAATTTAGATTTTTTTTTAAATACAATATCAACGTTTGTAATTTATGTTATAGTTATTTTTGAAGTCTTAAAAAGGTTTACGTTTTTAAGGCGGAAAAATATCTATGCGAGAAAAATATTAATGTGTTTAGTTTCGGTACGCCCAGGGTATTTTCCTAGATAACTGGCTGCGGATAATGTCAAGGCCGCGTTGGTACCGTGTCACGGTTCCCTATTTCAAAAATACTCGACTTAAATATTGTTACAATCTCCAATAACAATACTAAATATTTATTTCTTGATATTACATTTACGATGATATCCATTACTTAATAAATAAAATAATAAAATAAAATAAAATATCTTTATTTCATGCAACACAGGACCCACACAAGAATGTTAGTAACAGTGAAATGAAATATAACTTTAATTATAGTGTTAGTAATTAAATTAATTTACATAAATAATGATGACAAAATGTAAATGAAGATGTTTGATACCAGCCGCCACGAGGGTACCGGTGACTTATACCGTGGCATGTAGCCATATCCAGCGCTCAAGCAGCGGCGAGTCCCACCTATCTGCCATTGTGTTGAAAATGCTATTGGAGCTGCCACGCAAACGTTTCAGCATCGATGCAGCACGCTTTCTAATAATGGCGTGGAAACCATCAGTGTGCATTTCAGAAAACATTACTGACCCGCTGCAAAAGCGCGGCAGCCCCATCAGCATCCTAAATCCATTTATTATACTGGACACGCAACACGCTATACACCCGCTGCGTATAGCTAACCCATAGGTTGCCCGTGTAAAAAGACTGGCAGTAGTAGCAGGCTTTGAAATAGTAATCTTTACCTGCCTACTGCAACGAGCAAACATACGGGCCACCATGTTACACCTGATGGACAGCGCCATACGTTCCCGCTCGATATCCATATTATCACGCAGATCTTCGGTGACCCAGTGACCCAGATACTTAAAATGTGAGACACGCTTTAGAGGTAAGTTGTTGAGTGTGAAGGTAGTCGCACATGGTCGGGTATTTACTCCCGCCTTGAACATCATAAACTCGCTCTTTTTCACATTGTATGAGTCCATGGGGCACTGCATATGCTTTACATATATTTAATCAAAGGGCTGAGTAGCACCATATCGTCTGCGTAACTTATGTTGTTAACACAAACAACATCAATATGACAGCCTACATTTGTGCCGCGCAACTCCTCGATCAGGCCGTTGATATACATATTGAAAAGCCTAGGAGATGTAAGACCACCTTGCCTCACCGCACATTCAAGTCTATACACATCGGAGTATGAGCTCACACATCTAACATAGTTGGTCTGCCGTTCATACTACGATCGTAGCACCCCGACTAACTCGTGCAGCACATCAGTCTCACTTTGAAGTTTTTTCCATAATAAGTCATATGACACCAAATTGAAGGCCTTGGACGAGTCAATTTGACAATTTGACAGTTTTCTTGAGACACAAAATAGCGCTTTCGGTGGACAGACCTGGTTGAAAACCAAATTGTGTATCCTTAAATTTTATATGACTACTTAAGTGTTCATCAAGCAAACTGTCCAGCACCTTTGCCACCACAGTAGCCAGTGAAATTGGTCTGTAATTTGTCAAGTCCGATGGATCCCCCGACTTGTTCTTAATAACTGGCACAACTATGGTTCGCATAAGGTCATCAGGCACGTAAGAGTGGCTGAGACAGAGATTATATAACAAAGATAGGACCCTAGGTAGATGGATTCCCGCACACTGCAGATGCTCTATGCTGAGGTGATCATGACCAGGGGATTTACCCCGTACCATGCCCTTAATTACGCAGTCCACATCCTTCGCCGAGAATCTAACATTAAGTTTGTCAGTACGATACCCTGCATCACACATCACACATGGCAGCTGCAGGCCCAAGAGACGAGTCCACCCTGAAGTGAGCTTGGAAGGCCTTGGCTATCTCACTGTGCTCG